CTACCATTTGCAACAACATGGATGGAGCTAGAGGGGATTATGCTCAGTGAAATAAGCCAGGTGGAGAAAGACAAGTACCAAATGATTTCACTCATCTGTGGAGTATAAGAACAAAGGAAAACTGAAGGAACAAAACAGCAGCAGAAGCACAGAACCCACGAATGGACTAACAGTTACCAAAGGGAAAGGGACTGGGGAGGACGGGTGGGAAGGGAGGGATAAGGGTGGGAAAAAAGGGGGCATTACGATTAGCATGTATAATGTGGTGGGGGGCACAGGGAGGGCTGTGCAACACAGAGAAGACAAGTAGTGATTTTACAGCATCTTACTGTGTTGATGGACAGTGACTCTGAATGGGTATGTGGGGGGGACTTGGTGAAGGAGGGAGCCTATTAAACATAATGTCCTTCATGTAATTGTAGATTAATGATACCAAAATAAAACTAATTAAAAAAAATTTTTTTAAATTAATTTAAGACTGGTTCCATGTGTCTTGCTTTTTTTATGTCAGGTTTTGTATCTGAAATGGCCACCATAATTCCTGATCAAGATTTTAAAGTGCTATCTTTTCAAATTCTAGATGGTCCCACTACACAAAAGGGTGATAGAAAGATTTTTCTCATTTCTTTTCTTAAAACAAATGTGATGTTTACATTCTCACAACCATGCTGATGACCCTAAAGATGAACATGTCTCCATTAATAACTAGCACTTCAAAATCATACAGATGCTATACCACTAATTTTAATAAAACTTGACTCTTAAATAAGAAGGGCTAAGTATCACTAATGACTCATTTATAACTTTGCTTTTTCAAAGGTGAATTTCTACTCTGAAGCCATGAATCGTGTTGCTTTACTCCAAGTTGATAAAGTTCATTTACGTCTACAAAATGTGAATTAAGTAAAGCCATCTTTTAAAGTCAATAATTACCTCTTGATGAACATGTAAAGAAGGGATCATTCCTATATGAACTCTGAATTCTCTTCTAAAATTTGTAAACTATTAAAATTTTGCTCTGGACTGCCAACGTACTTACTGGGTCACATGTGCAGGTGAAAGCAAGTCCAGAGGGGCTTTGCTGTAACTGGATTTCCCATTTTGACAACACTACTTAATAAGCAGAACAGATGTAAAGTACACCATTTAATGAGAGCTTCTCTGTAAATAAAACAAAGGATTACTTAAATCTCAGGGTTCTGAACATGGACTTTCGATGTTAAAGTCTTTACACTTTCTTGTCAGAGTAGCTGTCACATGACCATCAATACACAAACTTACATAATGTGTCTGTAATATCTTGTTTTGAATTATTCATTTGTCACTTTCAATATTTTCTACTTAATATTTTGTTTAGAAACTAAGCATGGTTACTAAAGCATATAGATTTATCAATCTGTAATCAAAATTGTGATTCTCAAATGTTTATCAAATGAGTTTGTTAAATGTGTATACTATTAGCATCAGTCAGATGGAACTTGTTTTCTTTGCTTCATTAGTCTCAAATACAGTGCAATTTCCATACAAACTGTAAAAAATAAGTAATTCTGCAACTGTGTGAAGCATTCTGATGTCAGGTACACTAGCAAGCCCTTGCAGCTAGCTTCCTTAATTTGATCCCACACTGATACAACCAGTACCATAAAATAATTTGTTTCTTGTTTTGAAATTGCAGACTTAGAAAAGGAAATCTCTTACTACTTCATTTGGGTCTTTTGCAGTGTGGGTCAGGCATGGTTTATTTGCCACTGTCGTTTTATTTGATAACTGTCGTATCAGTAAGAAATTGAAGCTAAAAATGTTAAAGATCACCAGGGCACGTGAATCTAACTAGAGAAAGAATACCCTCTTTATACTCTTCCATTAAAATCTTAAATATTTTACAAAGAAATAAATTGTAAGCTAATATGGGAATAAACGGGAATCCTAAGAAATATTCAATTAACCCAAAAATAGATAGAAAAAGAAAAATAAAGAACAGA